CTCGCAAGGTTCCCTTTTCCCCAGAGTTACCCAACCCCCTCCGTGACCGCAGCTGGAGTCTCTCCGCAGGGTTCCCATGCAGGGTGCTCCCTCCCTGGCAGCTGCCCTTGGCTGTGTTGCCCCAAACCAGCGCGGTTCCGGCTTGAGCCAAACCCCAAATCCTTCAGCCCTTTCTGCTTGGTCGGGCTTGTGAATACAGTCAGACATGAAAAAAATTATTTCATTAAGTGGAATTTCTCTGCTTGAGCTCGTTGGGTGGCAAACAGCCATCGGGCCATGCCCTGCCTGTGCCAGTGATGTTTTCTCCGTACACACCAGCAGGTTTCGGTGTTAGTGCGCTGGAGCGAGCAGCTTCCTGGGAAACTGGGGTTTCTGTCTTCTTCACAGCCAGGGAGGAGACAGATCTCCTTTCAAAGTGGAACTAGGGGAAAGCCCTTCTGGTCTTGAAACCCAACTCATGGAGGTTGCAATCCCCTTCTCTGGGCTCGGAGCCTGTTAGTGGCTGCCCCAGAGAGACATGGAGCCCGGGCTGCTGCTGGTTAATCTCTTCCCTCTTCCCACCAGCGACCTGCTCTCCCCAGACTCCCTCCTCAACTGCCTCTATCCAGGAGACCACGGGAGGAAAACACCCAACCCGGCCAACCAGTTCCAGTTCGATAAAGTGGGGTGAGTGGGGGGCTGCCCCACACAGCTGGGGCAGCTTCATCCAGGCCATTGGCATGACTGCCTGGCTCCTGGCATGGCGCGTCCCTCCCCAGCTTGTCGGGAGGGCTCGGTGGCTGGGAAGCTGGTGTCCTGCCAGGTGGGCTCACTGGGCACGGCTCGGGGTTCAGGTGAAGAAGTACCTGCTCCCTCTGGCTGGCTCACAGGCTGGGCACTGAGGGGACAAGGAGGGGAATGGTCTGAGGTGACATAACCCTTCCTTGTTGTCCCCACAGCATCCTGACCTTGAGCGACTACGTGACAGAGCTGGGGCACCCCTACGTGTGGGTGCAGAAGCTGGGTGGCCTGCATTTCCCCAAGGATCAACCTCAGGCACGTCACACCCCCTTCCCTCTCCCCCAGAATGTCGAGCTGGGGTTTAGGGAGGTTTTAGGGGACAGTTGTCGTGTCCTGTCCCAGACCCCAGAGCTCCGGCTGGCACCAGCTGCACCAAACCACGGCGCACCCTTGGCTCAATTGGGATGTATCTGTGGAGCGGGGCCATGCCAACGTATTTTATCTCCCACGTGTGATGGTCCAAGCCCTGTTCCTGGCACTGAGCAGCAACTCGAGCATGTGCCTGTCCCCATGACTGGCTGGGGTAGCTCCTGGAGTCCCCAGTAGGGGCCCACAAACTGGCGTGAGGGTGACGGTCCCTCCTGCCCACAGCACACGGTCACTGCGGACAACTCGCTGAGTGCCAGCCACATGGAGCTGACTGTGAAGCTGCTGCGGTCGAGGCTGCAGTCCCGCCTGGCTCTCCACAAGCAGTTCGCCTCACTGGGTGAGTGCCTGGCTCCCTGCCCGGTGCCTGGGGATGAGGGGTGCAGTAACAGGGTCCTCTCACAGAGGAGAGCTGAGTGGTGTCACCTTTTAACGGTGCTGCAGACCTGCAGTGCCACCCTCAGCGTTCCCAGTTGTCTTCGGCACCAGCGGTGGTAGTGTGGCTCCAAGGGCTGCCCTGCTTTGGGTGGCAGAGGAAGTCTGTGCCCCCTCTCGATAGCCAGCACCTCTGTGGGACTGGCCATCCCTGCGCTGGGAATCGATTCGGGCCGTGGTGGGAGGTGAACCACGCACCCACGCATGCCATGTGGGCATGCGCTGCCAAGGTGGTGAGCTCCAGTGGGATCGCAGCCGAGGCTTCCACTGCTCCTCTCTGGGCACCTGACGAAGGTGTCAGAAGGACAGCGATGTCCCCAGGTCCTGGTTTTGCTCCAGGTCCTGGTTTTGCTGCCACCTGGAGCATCCTCACCGCAGGACAGTGACAGAGCTCTGTCCCCAGCCCTCTTCCGCTCAGATGGCCTTGTCCTTGGTTTCAGAGCACGGCGTTGTGCCAGTCTCCAGCGAGTGCCAGCATCTCTTCCCTACCAAGATCGTCTCGCGCCTGGTGAAGTGGGCTGCCATTCCCTTTGAGGATTACGCGGTAGGCACCACGCGCGAGGCCGTGTCCCTTCCAGCTCCCACACGGCGCCGGCAGCTGCTCACTTCTCGTCTCTCCTCGCAGGAGCTGCCCTCCACGAAGGATGTGGTAGAGGCCTTTCGAAGACACTCACCTCTACTACATGGCCCTGATAGAACGGGGAACAGGTGGGCGCGTTTCCTTCCCCTGGCAGTTTCAGATTCCCACACCGGACACCCCCAGGGCAGCTTCACGGGAAATCCCTCCAGTCGGAGGCCCTGTGGGCTGCGGGTG